TTTTTTTTAGAAGTTTGAAATCTACAGATTTGTGTCAGTGATTTCCAGCTCCCTCTACCCCATGAGGACCTCTGACTATCTTTTCATCATAAACCCCATGGTTTGAAGAGTGTGGTCTACCTCCAAACTACATGTATTTAGCAATGACGTGTAAGATTTTTAGCTCTGGTTAAGGTATTTTGGGAAGACCTTTGGCAACACTTACAATTAGGAATCGTCATTGTCTATTTCAGAGTCTGAGAAGAGACTGGGGCCCTAGGCCTGGGACTTGGGTCCCCTCCACTCCTTTTCCTACAGGGGACCACGTCTTCTGAGCACCTTCTATGAGCATCATCTTATTTAACTTTCACAAGCATCCTTTGCTCCGATCTTCATTTTAGACTGAGAGAACAGAGCACGGAGGCATGGGCGGGGGTTGTTGTTGGTGGTATGTATCACTGCCCAGTATCACTCATTTGATAAATGGTTTTCAAAGTCCCAGCCCACTGAAGCTTTATTTATTTTCTGCATGAAAACTAGAGGCTTGTAGGATCTGTCCACTTTTTTCCAAATCGTCCCAACTCTTCTAAACATTTCACTGTTATTTGGAATTCATTAATTGGTTCCCTATGTTAGCAGAGCTATGCAGGAAGGTACAGATGAGAGAACTGCGTTAAGCCACAAGTGGTCTGTGTTTGATTTCATTACTTGCATCTCCTCCACAATTCCACGCTACAATTTATTCACACATACACATGAGCATACTCTAAGGAATACATGCTCAGAAACAAGGTGTCCACAGCAGAACCCCAGACATATACACTCCACAACACGTCTGTTCTTTGAGGCATAAACATGGAAGCGAATGCACACACAGGGATGGTCAGATACTCGGACTCTTATATGTATCCAGATACAAAGAACCATAGCTACACAGCATGCACACACATACACGTACACCCTAATTGAAATGAGTTCTCTCTGAAGCCCGTTTGACCAGATGTCTTTGGAAGGAAGAAGGGATATAGGATTTACAAAAATGAAAATTGCAACGATAACAGGGTAAACTTACATGCTCACTAAACTGGCAAAAAAAAAAAAAAGGTAGGAGGGGAGTTGAATAATGACACCCAATGCTGAGGACTACTTTTTATAAAACAAGTGTTTTTATACATTGCCACTAACAAAGAAATGGTCGCTTTTTTTCAGAAACATCTTTCTTATCGCTCCAGTAGTCAGATGTGTTTATACTCTCTTTTGTTGTAATTCCACTTCTAGGAAGTTAATCTAAAGAAGAACATCGACAAGAAGAAAATTTGACTTATAGAAAAGTAGCCACAACACAGTTGCTTAGGAAATAGTGGTAGCCAGATAAATACCTACAATTAAATCCCGTCATCTCAGTTTGAGGCAGTCTTTTCCAGCCACATCACAATGACAATTATGAAGACTAGGGAACATCACAGAAAATATTTACGATAAAGTCAGTGAAAAAGAAGAGCACAAAACTGGGAGTTCACTGTGGATGGGATGAGATGAAGATTTGTCTACAAAGAGCTAAACAATGGAAAGTGAGAAACGAACAGTTCTTTGAGAGAGATATGACTATTATTGATCTGGTTTTTTGTTTGTTTACTTTAATGTTGTTATAATAAAGATTTCTGTTCCCAAAGCTATCTGTAATATAAAAATCCCAATGTAAGCCAGCCTGACAACTGCAGTAAAGATTTAACCCACTCGCGGATAATGGACCCTTAGCAACTCCTATGTTCGAGGGGCTGTATACACAGACATGTGCATCTCTAAGAATGCCATTGTGTACATTGGACTTGGTCAGCGTCCCAGCCTCAACCTACAAGAGTCTTAAATGACAAGCTAAGAATTGTCCATGGTGCTTCACAGGCCTAAGGCTCACCTCTGTTATTCTTCCAAGCCCTAAACTTGAATATTTTCAGGTGATCTATTTAATACAAATATCTGACCTTGCAGCTCTTGATCCTTGGAGATAAGACTCCAGTTGGTGAAAAAAGTTATTCAGTAGGGCCAGAGACCAAGTAAGGTCTAGGCTTTCCATGAACTAGCTCTGTGACCTTTGACCAAACTTGTTAGCATTCACTGAAAATTGACCGCTTTGGGTGCTGTGGTGGATGCCCTACACCAGAGGTCCTCAACCTTCAGGAGCGCCAGAATCACCTGGAGGGGGTTTCTTGTTGATACAGAGGTTACTGGGCCTCACACCCTGTGATAAGACTCAGTAGGACTGGAGTGGGGCCCAGGAATTTGCATTCTAACAAGCTGCCAAGTGGTGTTGAAGCTGCTGACCCAGTGTGGAGGGCCACTTGCTCTACATAGATTTTGCTCAAAATAACCTTGCAAATGAAGTGCGTTAAATATTACTCCCATGAACTAAGAGGATAGAGAACTTGAGTGACTTGGAAAGTCATTTAATCTTCTTGGTAATAAGATTACCTCCTGCTCTTTCAAGAACTGAAATATGGAATTGATGAGACAATCCAGATACTAGTCATTTGCTCTGATGTGAATACCAACACACACACAGACACACACACACACACACATACACACACACACATCTTCCCCTCTATTATGGAGACCCACTGCCAGCCTGCCTTCTTTTTCAATATGAACTATCTCCAGGGGTCAGTTTCCTGTTTGTTTTTTGTTTTGTTTTTCAGTCAGTGAGAATGAACTGACTTAGATGGTCAACTTAGAAACCTGCATGGTTTCTGCTGTCACCAGGGATCCTCAGCAAAGTGACAGCATGCACTGCTAGTGACTCCGCAGATGACCCAGGCTTTGTGGTCTCAGGCTTATCAGTGTATCCACTGTGCTGCCTGGGTGAGCTGGGTGCTGGGAGCATGCAGAAGAGCTACTGCTTTGCAGCTGTGTGCCAGCAGTCCATCTCTGTGCATCTCAGCTGTAGTATGAGGAAAATAACACTGACCTTCATCAGGTAGTGGTGAGGGTTCAATGAGCTGCACGTGTAAAGAGCACAGACTAGTACCCAACAGAGATTTTCCTGGAACTTGATGAAATGGCTCCAAACTTGACATAAAAGAGTAAAAGGGTGAAAATAGCCAGAACACTCCTGGTTGAAACACAAAAAAACAAACAAAAAAAGAGAGGGGAGCCTTTCTTAACCAGATACCATGGCTCATTATGGTCAATGCAGTGATAAAGTAGGTGACCAATAAAAAGAAAGTCCATAAACAGAACCACGTATGTAGGATGCTATGGTATGTGATATGGCTTGTATGTCACATCAATTCAAAAATTAGGCCTGGAAAAATGACAGTCCATATGGAAGAGAAGATTAAATTGGATCCTTACGTTACACCACATGCAAAAATCAACTGCAGATGGTTAAATGTTAAAAATACGCCCCTGGGGCTTCCCTGGTGGCACAGTGGTTGAGAGTCAGCCTGCTAATGCAGGGGACACGGGTTCGAGTCCTGGTCAGGGAGGATCCCACGTGCCGCGGAGCAACTAGGCCCGTGAGCCACAACCACTGAGCCTGCGCGTCTGGAGCCTGTGCTCCGCAACAAGAGAGGCCGCGACAGTGAGAGGCCCACGCACCGCAGTGAAGAGTGGCCTCTGCTTGCCACAACTAGAGAAAGCGCTCGCACAGAAACGAAGACCCAACACAGCCAAAATTAATTAATTAATAAACTACCCCCAACATCTTCTTTAAAAAAAGATACGCCCCTATAAATTTTAATAGAAAACCTTAATAGAAATATCTTTTGAACTTTGGAGTAGGGAAAGATTTCTTAAACAAGATACAAAAATGTTGACTCTAAAAGAAAAGAATGATACATTTTCTGTATTACAATTAAGAGTTTTCTTTCTTAAAAAGACAACTTGAAAATAAGCTACAGGTACTTCCCTGGGGGTTCAGTGGTTAAGACTCCACGCTCCCAGTGCAGGGGGCCTGGGTTCGATCCCTGGTCAGGGAACTAGATCCTGCATGCTGCAACTAAGACCGGCGCAGCCAAATAAAGAAAGAAAGAAAGAAAAAAGAAAATAAGCTACAAATCGTAGACTATATGGCAATCCACATCCTAACAAAGGATTACATAAGAATGTATCAAGAGCTCCTTGACATCTGTGAGAGACTCTATTCTTGTTTAAAATGATTCAGAATATATTGTCCTACATCATTGACTTTGTGCTTGGCCATGTAACCTCCTTGAGCCAACAGAATGTGAGCAGATAGGACATGTGTCATAGCTTAGCAGAAGCTTTAAAAGCATTGCAAGTTTATTTTTCCTGGATCCTCTGCCAGGAGAATGACATATCCTAAACAAGAGCTGTTCCTTTAGCCTGAGCCCAGGAGTGGGAAGATGTGGGGCAAGGAGCTGACCCACAGGTTGGAGCAGAGATGCAACTGACCTGCAGACTTGAGAGCAAAAAGGAATGTTTCTTGTTAGAAGCCACCGATTTGGGGGATGAGGTGGGGGGGTTGTTATGGTAGCGAAAGCTGACCAATATGGAAACTAGTACCTAGCAGTGGGGTGCTGTGCTACCCAAAGAATAAAATGTGTGGTTTTGGCTTTGGGGCTGAGTGGCAGGCAGGGAAGTAACTACTATAGGGGGCTGGAAAACCAGCAAGCTATGTAATGTAATAGTTAAACATTTGGAAAAACTGTCACATGTGATCATTCAGAAGGCAGAAAATATACCTACTGAATTTATGGCTTTGGGAGAAGAAGTTCTGAGACAGAATGCTGTTGGTGTGAGTTACTTGTTAGTAAGTACATTTCATCAGATACAAGAAAGAGGTGACAGCAGATAAGACTGGCTCATTTTCAAGCAGAATTGAAAGAGAACATAGAAAGTGTAGAAATTATAGAGTTTGAATGATGGAAAGGTGCAATCATCTGTTATGTCAACCTCTGCAGCCTGCAAAATATTCTCAAAATAGAAACTAGCTTTAGGGGCAATATCAAAACAAAGGCATGACCTGGGGTCAAGACCAAAATCAAGAACATGACTGTTACTCCCTTTGTTAAGACCTCTGAGGAGATTTAGATAGTCCCAGGGAATCCTGCCAGTTGGACAACATCACTTCTTAGAAAAGAAACTGAATCTCATTAATCCTGATAGCATCCAAATACTTGGAGTTGTATCTAGAGAAGGACGGAGAGGCATGTCTCAAAGCGCATGTTGTGGCCACTGACACTTGAATTGGCTACTGACCTTTCACAAAAAGTTTTTGAGAGTTCCATCACCGAAAGTGCTGCTGGTCTGGATTGAATAAGACTGACGCTTTAGGACATAAAAGGGTCTTGAGCCCCAGACTTTACAGGCAGGAAGCAGACTGATGATATTGATAAGAAAAACAGACACCCAGAAGAAAAATGATGAAAAACAGGAACAGATATTTCACAGAAGAGGACACACTTAATGATTGATGTGATGGACAAGCGAAGAAATGTTTAACCTCATTACTGTTCAGGGCAATGCAAACCCAGACAAGAAAGAGGTCTCAATTCAAAGTAATTTGACTAGCAAAAACGGGAAACTGATGATATCAAGCGTTGGAGGGAACATGGATCTACATGATCTCTTACACATGGCTGGTATCTTCAAGCAGCTACTTTAGAAAATGATTGAAACTGTACTCAAAACAGTGACTATCCTAAACCAGCAATTGCACTTTTTCATATAGACGTAGTAGAAGTCTTGCTCGTACAAAAATGTTCATAGCTGCACTGTTTACAATGGCGACAATCTGGGAAAAACCTCAAATGCCCACCAAGAGAGAGTGGATGAATAAATAGGAGCATACTTAACCAATGAAATATTATACAGCAGTTAAAATGAACTGCATTGGCACAGTCTGTAATATGGATATATATTAATAGAATACTACTGGCCAAAAAGTAAGTCCCTACAATTATAAACATTATGATACTCTTTATAAAATAAAAATATATATACTTTTAGAAACACACAGATTAAGAAAAGCAAGGGAATTTGGGTTGTTGGTTACCTTGAGTTGAAGGAGTCAGGAAAAATAGAGGGAAAATATGATTAGAAGCAGGTTATTGTCAAGGTTCTAGCTTTTGTTTGGAGTGGTGGTTCACATGGGTTTGTGGCATTATCAAGAAGAGCTAGAACTTTAAAAAAGAGGGATTGTTTTGATTGCTTTTTTAAACATTTATTTATTTATTTAATTTCTTTGGCTGTGTCAGGTCTTAGGTGCGGCATGCGGGATCTTCATTGTGGCATGAGGGATCTTTTGTTGTGGCTTATGGGCTCTTCATTGCAGTTCACGGGCTTCTCTCTAGTTGTTTTGCATGGGCTCCAGAACGCGTGGGCTCAGTAGTTGCAATACATGGGCTTAGTTGCCCCGTGGCAAGTGGGATCTTAGTTCCCCGTCCAGGGATTGAACCTGCATTCCCTGCACTGGAAGACGGATTCTTAACTACTGGCCCACCAGGGAAGTCCCTTGATTGCTTTTTTATATTTTATTTTGTTTTTAATTGAAGTATAGTTGATTTATAATGTTGTGTTAGTTTCAAGTGTACAGCAAAGTGATTCAGTTATACATTTATATAAATGTGTGTGTATGTATAGATGATTGTTTTTATTTAAGTCATAGACTATTAGAGTTAAAAGCATCCTTAGAAGTCAGTTAGTTCTACTTCCTTATTTCCCAAATGAGAAAACTGAGGACCAGATTGGAGAAGTGACTGACCCAAGTTACACAATTCCTGAGCGGTGCAACCCAGCCTGCTCCTCTTGTAATCCTCCTACCTCAGTACTGACACGCTCAAGCCAAGGCTTCATCCTCTTTTACTCTGCCCCACATCTAACCCATCCATCAGTTCTGCTCCGCTCTGACACACCTGGGTCCATCTGCTTTGCACAGTGCCCACCCCACCCCACCCCCAGGAGCCAAAGCCAGTCTCATCTCCCACCTGGACTTCAGCCAGTGCCTCCTGACTGATCCTCCTACATTCTCTCTTACTCTCCAAAACACCTGTTTCCTGTACAACTGAGAGAGGAATCTTCTTTTTTTTTTTAAAAAAAAAAAAAAGTCAGTTCTTATCTCTGAATTTCTCAGCTGTCTTCCCAAAGCACTTAGAATAAAATTCAGACTCATGGCCTCCCAGGCTTCACCTGAGCTGGTCCCTGCCTTCCTCTCAGGCTTCATTTCCTACCATTGCTCCCCAAGTTTAATATGCCTCTCTCACTGACTTTCTTTCTGGAATATTCCAGGCTGGTCTCTGCATGTAGCAGATGCTGCCAGTAGCCAGCTCACATGCCTTAGCTAGGCCTTCCGTCTCAGTGCACATAAGCTGCCTTCAGCCATGGAAGATCACTCTGTCCATGAGCAGGACAGGACAGAAGTGCTGGGGAGCAGGCCTCACCAGTGAGAGACAGGAAGTAGAGTATAAATACCCCAACTCCCTTGCTCCTAGGTGAGATAACTCAGCTGTGTCTCAGCTGTGTGCTCTGTACTGTTTCCCAAAGTGTCCCTGGGGAGCCGGCCCCACGACTCACAAAGGAGCTGGCCTGATAACAGTTCTTTATCAAGTCCTTGTTTTGCTCTCCTGTTCCCTTACTCATCTTTCCTGCACCTCCCAAATAGATTACTTTCTTTAAATCTTTGTCTTGGGTCTTATTCAGAGGGTAGTGTTAAGATACCACATTAGGCCTTTGCACTCACCATTCTCTCTGCCTAGAATATTCTACCCCTCCAGGTCTCAGCTCAAATGCCAACTCTTTAATCTCCCTTCTGGTCATATCCCATTGTTATATGTCTTCATTGACTTATCCTATTAGAAATTATCTTGTTTATATAATTAACTGAAAAATTATGTCTCTCCCAGGGGGTTAGCTCTACAAGGCAAGTGCCTTGTGTATCTTGGTTCCCAGCACATGGGAGAGTGATTGGCACATAGTAGGCACCCTTTAAATATCTGTTGACTTAGTTAATGAGTATTTTTTGCCGGGAGGGATGTCAAATACTGCATCAAGAGTAAGATTTACAGTAGCTGTTTGAATTTATGCATTTCTAATTGGCAGACAAATTGCTGGCATGTAAATGGATACTGCAGTTGTGTTTTTGAGTGGTTGATTCTCTTTAGTGAGTTACCCTGTTTCCAACTACTTTAAAGTGCTCTCAGTTGCTGTGCTAATTACAAATCCTGATAAACTCTCCATTAACGTGTATCTGCGAAGTACCTTCAACGAGATAATACTGTTAGAAGGATTTATATATGGCTGGAAGTAAGAGAACCACATTTATTTAATAACAGTCTTAAATTCATCTTGCCTTTCCACTGATGTACCTGAATAAGTGCAACTGGACTACATTTACCTGCTTGCTTATTTACACAGGTGGGATGTTGGCAGAGGCTTGCCCTGGGGAAGTAGAGATGTGGAGGCCAGAAAGAAATTCCATACACAGTCTTGGAGAAAACTCATTTCTTATGTGGCCTTGGCCCATCTCATGCTCACCTGGCATAAACCTGCTTCAGCATGGGACA